AAATGGACAGAGGCGCGGCGCCAAATGGCGTCACAGTTGGCACCGGTTTGAGGGAAAAATACATCGTGTTGCTGAAGGGTATTTTTGGAAGAAGAAAAAGAGGCGTATAAATAGGATGCCTTTTACAGAATTAGGGATAGAATCCTATTCCGATGACCAGAGACGACGGTGGTGCTCAGAGAGAGTTCTGAAGGATCTATTTGTTCTTCCATTCTTCCTCTTTTCATTTATCAAGTATGTTGAATATTGAATTTATAGTCATGATAATGATTGGCTAAGTTCTTTTAATTGTAGTTAGGGTCACAAACCCTATGTGAACCCTTTTTGCGATGGATTGATTATTTTCGCTCGTTTATTTTAATATATTTTATTTTTACTCTGTGCGTATTGATATTATTTCTGTTAGACTTGATCAACCTAATAGGGGATAATAATTTGGGAATTAGGGCTCGCAATAGGAATATTGGGGTTTTTGATTCTGAAAGGGGGTAAGGTAACAATTTATGCATGCTCTAGGGATAGACTTGTGTGAGTTGCAGTCGTTTGATTTATCGTGATTAATGCTTAATTTCATGCGGGGTTGCTAAGGGATTAGGATTCCAATTGAATTAAAGGATTAGATTGCCAAGGGATTGGGATTTAACTAATTATTTTAAATGATATTTGTCTGAGTTATTAAATTGAATGAACGTTGTCAATCAATCCAAAGTTTAAAGTGAGGATCATATGGTGCGTGTACCTTAGCTGCAATGCTTTTTATTATTCTCTCAAAAATCCAAACTTTACCATTGCTATTTGTATTGAAAATTATATTTTAAATTTCTGTCTTTATTTTACCATCAATTCACAATTTTCCAAAAACAACCGAGTTTTCCAACTTAAGGGGACTGGTTATTGTAGTACTTGGTTTACAATCCCTGTGAAGACGATACTCTACTTATTCATTATATTACTTGTGCGATTGGTATACTTGCCGGAGAACATCAACATGTCTATGAAGATGCAGACTACCTCCACCCGGACGGAAACACCCTATGAAGCTTCATTGTTCAATGGGATTAGCTTTGGGCTTTTCCTGCACTGCTTAGGTGGAGGGCGAAGAAGGCCTCTTTCTGGGGAGGCCCGAGCCATCAGTGAGATAGCGAAGAAAGCCATCTGTTAGCTTTGTGTAAGCCTAAATTATAAGCCTAGTCTGATCTATATTTAAAAAATAAAAGACTAGACCTAGGCCTTTTAGCCTATTTAAGCCTATTAAACATTCAATAATTAAAAAAATAATTAAAACAATATTACTTTATTATTAAAAAAATAATTTTATTTGTTATTTAAAATAAATAATATGATATAGGCTGGCCTGAAGGCTTATAAGCCTGACATGTAAAAAAAACCTACGGGTTACTTTTTAAATAGATTTTTTTAAAAGCCTAGGTCTGTTATATTTGACTATATGTAATCAGTCAAGCCTGGCCTGATATAGATGAGACCATAGGCCCCTGTAGGCTGGCCTAACCCATTTACACCCCTAGTGAGATACTACTCTGAAAGAGCTAGAATTCTAACCTTGTGCCAGGACCTACGGGCCAAGGGAGAATCTTATGTAGACAGTTTCTATGGGGCGTATGCCTCCCAAAAAGTAACAGAGGTGTGCAAAGGTTTCCTCGGGTCAGATAGAGATTGGCCCTCGAGTGCAAAGGCAGAAGGGAGCTTGACTGCAAAATCCACCCATCGAGCAGGGATGAAAGTCGACCTTAGTGATCCAACGGTACCGAGTGGAAAGACCGTCGCTCAATGGATAGAAGTTACTCTAGGATGGATTTTTAAGTTCGCCGTCAAATCCTAGGGCTCAATCCTAGACAGGCAGTGAAAAATACCAAGATGGAGTATAATAGGGGTAGAGGGAATTTTTGGTGGAGCGGTGAAATGCGTAGAGATAAGAAAGAACACCAACGGCGAAAGCAATCTGCTGGGCCGACACTGACACTGAAAGATGAAAGCTAGGGAAGCGAATGAGATTAGATACCCTAGTAGTCCTAGTTGTAAACGATGGATACTAGGCGCTGTTTGTAGCTAACGCGTTAAGTGTCTCGCCTGGGGAGTACGTTGGCAAGAATGAAACTCAAAGGAATTGGCGGGACCCCGCACAAATGATGAAGCATGTGGTTTAATTCGATGCAAAGCGAAGAACCTTACCAGGGCTTGACATGCCACGAATCCTCTTGAAAGAAAAGGGTGTCTTCGAGAACGCGGACACAGGTGGTGCATGGTTGCCGTTAGCCCGTGTCGTAAGGTGTTGGGTTAAGTCCAGCAATGAGCGCAACCCTCGTGTTTAGTTGCCAACGTTGAGTTTTGAACCTTGAGCAGACTGCCGATGATAAGTTGGAGGAAGGCAAGGATGATGTCAATTCATCATGCCCCTTATGCCCTGGGCGACACACGTGCTACAATGGCCTGGACAAAGGATCGCGATCCCACGAGAGGGATCTAACTCCAAAAACTCATCGTCACTTCGAATTATAGGCTGCAACTCGCCTGCATGAAGCCGAAATCGCTAATAATCTCCAGTCAGCCATATGACGGTGAATTCGTTCCCAGGCCTTGTACACACTGCTTGTCACACTATGGGAGCTACCCCTGCCCCAAGTCGTTTCCTTAACCACAAGGGAAGGGATGCCGAAGGCAAGGCTAGTGACTGGAGTAAAGTCGTAACAAGGTAGCCGTATTTGAAGGTGCAGTTGGATCACCTCTTGTTTAGGGAGAGCTTATGCTTGTTGGGTAGTTTGGTTTGACTGCTTCACACCCAAAAAGAAGCGAGCTATGTCTGAGTAAAAATTGAAAATGAAAGTCTCCTTTCATTTCTCGGAGGTGAAGTAAGACTAGGCTCATGAGTTTATTATCCTAGGTCGAAACAAGTTAATAGGAGCTCCTTTTTTTGCCCTCGTGTGGCGACGTAGGGGGAAAAAAGGAAAGAGAGGGATGGAGTTTCTCTCGCTTTTGGCATAGCGGGCCCCGACGGAAGGCCCAAACAACTAGTACTTTGTACAATTTTGAATGAGTTTAGGTTGACTAGAACGAAAAAATATAGGAAAATAATTTTTTTTTTCTTTTTGGAAAATAAGTAATTTTAAAGTTTACCCTAATTTTGATTCTGAACGATTATTACCAAAGATAATATATATATAAATAATCACATATAGAGATTTCACTAGTACTTTGTGATTAAAATTAGTCACACTCTTGCTTTAGATTGTAAAAACACATTTTTTGGAAGGTGGCGTTGGGGGTTAGAGCTTAAAAATGTTTTCAAATATTATTGACGTTAGCAGTGTAAATATTATTCAACTTCTGCTATTTGAAAGCGGAAAATAAGTAAAAGGTAATAATTTTCTTGGTACCCAAAGAAAATGCTAACATGGATATCGAAATTAAATTCGATTTTGTCGAGTTCCTGTCGTTGCAAACCTTGGCAAGCTTTGTTAATTAACTGCAAAATCACACCGACTAACCCTTGAAGTTTGATTTATATTGACACGATTATTTGTGCTTCAAACTTCAAAGACTTAATCTACCATAACTTCAAGGTTACTCCATATGTTGTCCAATATTAAGCTTTTTAATACAAATTTCAATAATTACGAAGTTCTAGATCCTAGGTTCTGTGTAGCATAAATCCTTGAAAGATCCCACCGGTCAACGAACTAATCGCATTTTTTTTTTTTCATTCTTTTGGTCATGTTACCTTGTAATTTGTTTTACTACCTTAAAATCCAATGATTTTACGACGTGTGTCTTCAATATCGAGAGCCCACAATGAATATTATCTTTCCTTTTCACATATCCGATGCCTTATAACAGGCAAGCATTGGTTGTAAAGTGTCCTTTCCTTTTATTATTTGCATCTTATACTAGTAAACTAATGAAGGGTAATTATATTAATCTTTGTCATATTTGGTCAAATGTATGTGATGTTTTTTGAGATACAATTAAATGATTTAAAAATTATTATTTTTATTAATAACTATTAATTTAAGTGAAAAAATACTTTCTTTCTTAATTATAAATCTCAAATAAAAATAAAAATATTATATTTAAAAAATTATAAATTTAAGCAGGCCGAAACTAAATTAAACCGATTTAAATTCTTTATATCATTTGTATATATAATCTTTTTTTCTTTATATCATTAAATTTCGCTAAATTTTCATACTTATTTTTAAAAAAACAAATTGAAGCTCAAAAATTTAAAGGGTAATAATTTTTTACTGTTACAAAAGAAGAAATTTATCTGATGCTGACATAATATATAAGTCGTATCCACTGAAAAGAGGTAGAGAAAAAAAATAAAAACGAGACTCACCCATATATCATTATATTGTGTCAGCAGAGACAAATTTCTTTTCCTGTAAGAGGAAAAAACTATTAGTCAAACTTAAAATGTTATACCAGTGTACTTAAAAAAACTGTAGTTGTACTTCTTCATGAAATATTTTATTAAAAATATTTTCTTAGTGTAAGGTGAGATAATTTTAACAACTTTTGTAAAAATATTAAACTCATATACAAATATAAAATAATTAAATCTTAAAATACTCCTATTTATTAGTTTCATTTCAATTTTATAAATTTTAAAATAAAAAAAAATCTCTCCACAAGATCTCAAAATATAAGAAGTGAATTCACTTAATATTATTTAACATGATCGTGAAAGAATTTAACCATAAAAGAGTGAATGGGGACTAGAGAAAGAAAAAAAAAATAAAGAAATAGGAATTTATAAAATCATTATCATTAATTTATTAAATCATAATTAATTTTTTTTTTATAATGTGATCATCATAAATAACATATGAGATAGACCCATTTCTGATGACATTATCATGTATAAAACACATTATAACGGCGTCAGATGAACGGAGCATAACACGCTACGTAATCAACAGCACTCACAAATCCACAATATGTAGTTATATACAATGTTATTTTATTTTTTTATTTAAAAAAAAAGGAAAACAAAAAAATGTAGGTGCACATGGTTGCCACCCCATTGCCGTCTGAGACTCTTTATATTAAACCCCCCCACTCTCTACCTTTTCTTCTCTCGTATTTCTCTTCAATTTCTATTCTTCTCTAACTGAGTCACTGACTCGTCTCGTACGGACTAGTCCTAGTCCGAGTCCGAGTTAACCAGAACTAACGCTTGATCCAACGATGTCTGTTGCCTCCGCCGCTGCAGATTCCGCCGTCTCCGGCGAGATCATGCTGTTCGGAGTTAGGGTCGTTGTTGATTCCATGAGAAAAAGCGTTAGTATGAACAATCTCTCACAGTACGAGCATCCTCAGGACGCCAACAACAACAATAGCAACAAAGACGTTCCCGCCGCTGGTTACGCCTCCGCAGACGATGCCGTTCCTCATAACTCCGCGAAGCACCGCGAACGCGAGCGCAAGCGAGGTTCGATTAATCCTTTCGATCGGTTATGAATTTTTTGTTTAAGTTTTCAATATTAGAAAATAAATAAATAAATTAGATTGTCTTATTTAATCTAATAATTATTGTTTCATTCAATTAGTTGAAATTGAAATATGATGTTGGTTTTGGTGGATGATCAGGTGTTCCGTGGACGGAGGAAGAGCACAAGCTGTTCTTGGTGGGATTGCAGAAAGTAGGGAAAGGTGATTGGAGAGGAATCTCCAGAAACTACGTGAAAACGAGAACGCCGACGCAGGTTGCCAGCCATGCTCAGAAGTACTTTCTCCGCCGAAGTAACCTCAATCGCCGTCGCCGTAGATCCAGCCTCTTTGACATCACCACTGACACGGTAACTCCATCATCTTTCATATTCGTATAAAGCTCCGCGGTTACTTTTTGAAGTATTCGCTTTAAATTAATTTCTGATGCAATCTCTATATGGAAACATTGAGAAGCTTTTGATCTGAATTTATGTTCAATTATTTATATTCCTGATCAACAGAGCATTAAACATATATAGTGTTGATTATGGTCTTACAAAATGACATTGAATTTTTTTTCAGTTTTTTCTTTGACTTCTAAGTTCTAATCAATTGTCAAGCCAAAAAAGAAATATATGGAAAAAAAAGAAAAGAAAAAAGAAATAACAAAAGGATATGAAACTTTTGCTATTTTGTGTCTTGTTACGAAATTCATTTGGTAGTTGAAGAGAAGTCTAACAGAACTAAAATGGGGTGATTTATGTTATTTGTTCCCTGCAATTGAAAGAGTTGACTTGCCAAGAGTTAAAATTTTTTAAGACTTGGATTGGAGGATTGGAGAAACAAAATTTTCGTGATCTTATTATCAATTTTTGTGTCAGGTCTCTGCTATCCCAATGGAGGAAGAACAGGTCCAGAATCAAGACTGCGTGTCTCATTCACAGTCCGTGTGCCCTGCAGCCCCTGAAACTAGCAAAATCAATGGATTTCCAATGATGCCAGTATATCAGTTGGGTATTGGTTCTGGAGTGATTTCAGTCCAAACTGGGAATCCTATGGAAGAACTCAGTCTAGGACAAGGAAACATGGAACACAATGCGCTAACCAAGCTGGTCCGTCCAATTCCTTTTGTTCCTGAACCTAAAACATCCACCGTGTCTGATATCACTTCCAGTTCAAGTTCAGCTGTTGACCCACCAACACTGTCCCTCGGGCTATCCTTCTCATCTGATCAAAGGCAGACATCATCAAGACATTCAGCTTTACATGCAATGCCATGTTTCAACAATGGAGATAGCATCATAAGTGTTGCTTGAGAAAGATGACTCATGATTATGGTCCATATCTGGAGCATCTTTTGGATTCACAAGATTACAGATATATCTATCTCTAATCTCCCATCTTTTTGGTGGGATAAAGAGAAAGACGTTGAAGGAAAGGGCGATGGATTAGAGAAGGCAAGCTTAGGTGACTGAATTTGATCTTTCTGTTCCTTGTACAGACCCGGGAAAGGTCCTGTCCTGTTTCTTCTTGTTTGCTTATGTTAATGTTATGACTTTAGATTCTTGTTTATTTGGCCGTTTATGTTTGTAGTTGATGTAACTGAAAATAACGAAGTACTTTATGTTCATTGCTGATAACGTTGGATGTGCACTTCACAGATGTGTGGTTTGTGGCTCTTTTGGGGGAAAATATCAAGTTGGGTTTGAAGGTTGGCAATCTGTCATTCCTGTTAGGTGTTAACAGACGCCCACGTTTTAAATTTCTGGTGAAAATGACCTATTTACTCCTACTCACTAATGGTCGGTAGCTGTAGAATGTCATAAGTGTATCTTGCTTATGATCCATGCATTATACGGTTTGTCCAACACCGAACGTGGTGCTGCTGGTGCTGGGGATTGGGCAGGTGATGCGACTTGCCCCACACGGCTTAAAAGTCAAATGTCCCAAAATTCATGTGCTTATTTACTGTGAGAGAGATCTATTCATCAATGGGAACCATGTTTCTGGAATTGGACTCTTTCCTATGCATTTAACGTACGTCCTTGGTGCGCATTGATCAATATCAATAAGAATAGCAGCCAGCCCTATAGATATCATATCGGTTAGCGCTTCCTTGATAGATGCAATTTTTATTATAAAGGGAACACTCTTAATTGGTTGAGATTTACTAATTCCATTAAAAAAGTCTCTGCCTTTTTTTCTCCCAACAAAACGATCTCCTGTAATTTTATTAAAAAGGAGAGAATTTAAATCCCATGTTTCTGTTAACCACGTCGAAGCAGTTATTTCAGGCCCTGCGGTTAGTAATGATTATTATATTAGTTCCTTAATTAGTGCCTCTTATAAGCAATTTTTTAGTTGTTAAGAATTAAAGGATTTGTTAACACGTATTCTTGTACATTGTTCGGTATAGTGGAAGTCTGGAAGAGAAAGGAAAAGAAGAAAGAAAGAAAATAAAGGAAGGAAGAAGTGGAGGATTTATAACACATCTTTGTTTGTTATTATCCCATAAAAAGGAAAAGTTTTCTTGGTTTCATGACTTTCATAAAAAAAGGGAAGTAAAAATGAACATGTATGCAAATAAATAAAGGGTTAACAAGAATTCTTCTTTAATGCTTTGCTTTCCGACCTAGTCCACCGTATAAAGGAAGTTGCAAAAATAGAAGTGAATTTTCTCATGTTAAAATTTTACATGACTCATGTGAAACTTTTGTGTATTCTCATAACATGCATTAAATAGGTGAGATCCAATTATCATTAATGAAGAAAGAGATAAATACAAAAAATTTACATAACCAAATTATATAGAATTTAAACATGAGAGTATCATTCCCGCAAAAATATAGAGACTTGGAGAAAGTTTATCATTCCAAATATTTTCCTTTCCAATCTTAAAATGATACCAAATAAGTGGCCCAATCTTTAGACCTCTTCCTTCTTCTTTCTTTCACTTCAAAAAATATACCAAACAAAAGCTTATGTCATTGTAAGTAATTAAAAATTGACCAATTTTATTAGGAATTTGTTAGCGGGGGACTCTTAGGTCATTGGACAAGGAATTAAAAATAAAAAATTATTAAATAAAAAGCAATTCATATACTTTAAAATCAAAAAAGTATTTATTACCTTTTTCTTCTTATAGCTAAAAGCATTCAATATAATGTTAGGTTAAAAGAATGCCTCTTGGCCCAAGTTAAGAGTGTTCAAAGTCATCTCCGGAACCTCATTTACTTAGTTGAGATTTTGCGTACAAATTCTCTTTGTAGGTTCAGTATGAAACATTTTATTCTATTTCTCCTTTCTCTCCCTCCCTAGCCCTTAGTGGAAAATCCCTAGCCCTCAATCCATAAGTTAGTACAATAACTAACAAAAAATGATATGCACTTTTTTTTGGGAGAAAAGGAACTTGAGTATGCCATTCTATAAATATAAACTATTAGTGTGATGATCGTAAGAAAAACTAAAGATAAAGTGAGATTAAATTTCACTTGGTGGCTTTTACAGGACAAGAAGCATTTTGTTATTTTTTAGCAAAATATATATTAAATACCACATTCTAGAAAAGTGTGTGTTTGACACATAATGGGACTCTCACATTGCGTCACATGATAAAAAATTATAAGAAATTATTTCTAAAACATAGCATTTTAATACATATTTTGTCAAAAAATAACAAAACGGTCGTTGTCCTGGCTTTTACTGTACACCCCATATGAAAGGTGCACTCATCTGTTAGTCCTTTATTTTTTACTTATTCATTTTAATTGACTATCAAATTTTATTGTTATCATTTTGAATAATACTTTTTAATTTAATTTTTACGTGTTTCATTAATTATATATTTTAGTTTTATTTATACTAATATAGTAATATATCAGTATAAGATGCATCAAAATCTTTATAAATATATATAAGATAACACATTAAATATAAATCTTACTTAGTTCACGATGACATAAATTTTTATTTGTTTCTTAAATTTTTAATGGAAGTTGTATTATTTTATTATTTTCAATTTTCATAATTACAATTTTTAATAAAATCAAACAATTGTTTGATTTATATTTTATGCAATCTGTTTCAAAACTGCATAGAAACCAAATTCTATCTTTCTGGTTGTCCAAATTCAATAGTCAAAGGACTCTGCATTTCTGAATTAAGAAATTCACACTTTAAAGACTTATAACTATTCAAGAAATAATTAAAAGAGATTTTAATAACCTGATAGTTTTTTTTATACATATACAAATAATGGTATGAACTGCAATATCTTAGGACTCCAATTGTTTAAAATTAGGAAAACAATTGCACGTCTTAGAATTTTCATCATACGGCTCAAATAGAGACGTTCAGTTTTTAATTTTTATAAAAAAATTTATTTATGATAATAATTGTTCAAATTCAATATCCCTTAAGTTAAAACTTTTGTTAGTTATCACCAAGTATAGCTTAGTCAATAATATTGAATTTGAATCCTGAATATGCAATTATATTAAAAAATTTAATAAAAAAAATTTATCCCCTTATAATCTTGCTCGACTCAAATCAAATTAACTGAATATCCGATGAATCGATAGAGAAATTAAAAAAATAAAAAATAGTCCAAATTCAAATAGAGAGTGTCTTGGTTGGTCTGCACTAAATGATTGGATGCAAAATGAGGCCCAACAGAACTATATAAGATGGCCTCACAATCAGTCTTAGGCCCATTGCTCACATGGGTGAAATCTGGGCTTTAGCCTTTAAGTAAAAAATCACTTTTAACAGAGAAAAAATAGACAAGAGATTATTGTACCCAATAAAAAATTAGACAAGAGATTCTTACTTACGGAGGAAGTAAACTATTTATGCACAGAGGCGTTCCAATTTGAAGGAAAATATATATATGTAATGACATTTTGGTAAATATCATAAACTGAATGAGTAATAATATATGTGAGAATGTCTCGAGAAATGAACCTAAGCCTGAGTAATAATATACCAGTATAAATATTTTATTCAGTTGATCTGTACAATAAAGTTTTCATAGATATTTTGTTTGGGGGATCATTTTGAATTGATGTTGATGTTAAATGGCCACAATATTTAATGTTGATGTTAAGAGGACTCAAACTTGTTGCTCTATGAATACATGCCAAATGGGAGCTTGGCTGCATGGTCCAAAGGAATTTACGGAGTATATATGCTCGTTATAACATCTTTTATTTTTAATGCATTTAAATTTTTTTAAATTTTTTTTTTTTCGAGCCCCCTCCATTGCATGTGCAGACATAAATAATATTTTCTTGCCTGTTTGCCCCTCATGTAAATTCCTGGTTCTGTTTATGCATAAGACAAAGCATAGACTTGTAAACATGATAAAGCTTGAATTAATTTCCACTAATATATTCTAATTGTGCTTAAACTTTTTCCAAATGGCAAAACTTTTTGGTGTGCAAACAATAGTTCTCCAACTTCTCCGTGTAAGTAAGGGCTTGTTTGGTGTGACGTATAAGGCATGATAGTATAAGCTTATATTATACATTATGACATTTTCAGTTATTTGGTGTGATCATCGTATAGTATAAGCTTATACAGTATTACCCCTTAATACATTAAAATGATGTATAACTTAATCCAACCTAAGGGTGAGGGATAAGGCCTGATAAGATATTGATGTACTAACATCGTTTACCAATGTAATTCTCAAAAATTAATATATTATTTTAATGTTAATCTATTAAAATAAAAAATAATTTTTCAATATATTAATTTAAAATATTGAATATTTTTATTTTTATAAAAATTAAATTATATTTTGGACAGACTAATCAATAAATTTTTATAAAAATTAATATCATATGACATTTTTTGAAAAATTAAATAAATTCTTTATTAAAGGATATTTTTATGTACATTACCAAATACTAGATAATATTATCTTATACAATCAGTGACGTAGCCACCCTTATGCCAGCAGGTGCCTTGGTACCTGCTTGGTTTTAAAAAAATTTACGTGTTATATATAAATATATAATTAATTATAATTAACTAAGATTAAATTTATAATTTGGCACCACCTAAATAAATATAATTATATTTATATTTTTCAATCAAAAAATAAAACTCAATACCCAAACCTTTTTACGTGACCCATCGACTACTAGCTACAAAAAAAATAGCATTTTAAATTTAATTTTAATTTTTTTTTAAAAAATTTGTTATCCAAACATTTAAAAATTCTTAAAAGGATTTTTTTAAAAAAAAAAAAAACTTTTTTAGGAATAAAAACTCATCCAAACAGGCACTAAATGTTGCCTGTATGCTTTAATTTATAGTTAATATCTCAATTGTAAAGTTGATGTCTTCTTTGATATCTTAATTTATAGCAATGTTCTTTTTTTATTTAGTATGTAGTATTCTATTTTTTATTTTTTTATTTGCTGCGCTAGTTTTTATTTATTATTTTTATTTGTCACTAGAGAATGATCTTTTCTTTTCTCATTGCAGATATTATCTTGTTATTTTGAAACTTGGGAACTTCTAAAGTATGCATTTAAGGTATGCATTTTAAAAGAGTGTTATTTACAATTTTAGGTATGCATTTTTCTATTATATTTTAAATTATTTATTAAATTTTATTATACATATATTTATTATATTTGTGTATTTTCATATCCTTAAGACAATGCTTGGTTCATTACTTATTATGTTGTGGGAGGAAAATAGGGGTGTTCATCAACCGATCCAAACCGATTCAAATCGCGGTGACCGAATCGAAAAACAGATAACCGAATAAATCGAAAAACTAAAAATCGAAAAAAACTCTCAAATTTTAATTGGATTGTATCGATTTTTGGATTAGTAGATGAAAATCGATCCAATCCAAACCGATCCAATATATTAATTTTTTTCTACCTATTTGGGTCTTTCCCCTATCATAGCCCAAAAGTTTCTAAACCCAAGATGCATTAACCCATCAACTAAACCCAAGAAAAAATCTAGTCACGTCTCATTAACAAAATTTCATCTGTGTAGAGCTTCATATCTCATTGTCCAAAAAAAAAATATTATCGTTTACTGATGCTTTTGTATTTAATAATAATATCAAAAATTATAGAGCCAATATATACAAAAGATGTTATTTGCACAATAATCATGAAACAAATTCTAGGATTTTCAAAAAATCGAAAATCGATCCAATTCAAACCGAAAATTTGGATTGGATCGGATCAGATTTGAAAAAAAGTCCAAACCGAATGGATGAATACATGATCAAACCGAAGGAATTGGATTGGATGATTTTTGCTTCCAAAACCGATCCAATTCAGATCGCAAACACCCCTAGAGGAAAGTGAAATTCTTATGTTTGAAAAGCTTATCAGAATTGCTTTTCAAAAAAAAAGCTTATCAGAAAGGTTAGTGACTTTTTATATGTTTGCTTTGATATATAATTATTGATAATTGTTCATTTGAATTTTCAATGTTATGTGACATTATTTAATACATAATGAAGATAACTATGTTAGAATTCATAGTACATTTTTTTCTTGATTAATTTGTATAATTACAATAAATATTTTGATAATTTAATATTTTAAAATATTTTGGCACCACCTAAATTTTTGGTCTGGCTCCGCCACTGTATACAATATATTATTTTATACAATACTGTGCCAAATGTTGGATAGTATTAAAATTCAATCAGGTCTTATACAATCATGCCTTATACTATCAGGTCTTATACTATCAAGCATTATCCTATACTATGCACCAAAAATGCCTTAGAACAATTTCAACTAAATTTGTTTGTATCTCCAGGCAAAGGCGGATCCAGTAAGGGGAGAAGGGGGGCAAGTGCCCACCCTTAAATATGATATAAAAATATAAAAATATTTTTTTTCTTAAAATTCAAGTTTTTCAAATTTAATTTTGGGATAAGATATTATAATAACCAATTAGGGTTACTACCAATCAATTTCATCGTTAGATCATTTATGCTGATACAACGATTATATTTATTTTCATCTTTGTATGATTATGATTCTCCATATTTAATACTTTATATTTATTTTCACCTTTGTATGATTATGATTTCTTATATTTAATGCTTTTACATTAAATATGAGGATCATAACCCTATAAAGATGAAAATAAATATAATCGTTGGATCAACATAATCGATCTAACGGTGAAATTGATTGGTAGTAGGTTGTTACAATATCCTACACCTTTAATTTCCTGTGAGTTTTTTTTTCTACTCCATCTTCATTATCCAAACCTAATCTAGATCTAGATCTAAACCAGACCCAGCCAGCCGGCAGCTGCTCGTAAATCGCATTCAAGACCAGACCTTATTGAGTGCCCACCCTTCATTATTTTTCTGGATTCACCACTGTCTCCAAGTGATTGGAGAAGGTTGAATGAGAATACTAAAAAAAAAATTGTTTGTACCTACTACCTAGATCTTTTTGTACATATTTAAGTTTTCTGAATTTGATAGAAAAAAGGTTTAAGTTAATTTAATGCAGTCATTTACACAGACTTGAATGTGGATTAAAACATGTAACGTGGTTTCGTTTTATATCCAAGTCTGGGAGAAAGTGAGAATCTGAGATAGACTTTTGAGTTGTGAGTGTGCTACCATAAGTACTGTGCTATACTATAATTCATGTTTCTTATAAATCTCTCTAAGTCTCTAAATAATGGAGAAGATATATAAACATATAGTCTATACCCTTTGAGATGATTGACCCAGAAGGCTAGTGATAGTGTGAATTACCATATGCTGTCGAATATGAACGGTGGAATATAAAAAGATTTTGCGAAGGCAAATTAATAAACAAACAAATTTTCTGAAGATTCTCCTACATATTGGTGTGAAGAGTTGACAAAATTGTTGTTTATTAACACTTCAAGAACTTTTTTTCACATGATATGTTTATGTAAAATTACCCATGAGAGAATTCACTTATGACATATAGGAGAATACATATTCTCATATTTAATTTCACATTAATTGAAAGATTTTTAAACATTAATAGATAAAACAATAGTTATATTTTCCCCCCTGCATTTTAATATTTTTTTCTTTCATCTCTTATGACCGTTAATTTATTTATCAATAATTAAAAACTTACATAACCTAATCATATGAAATTACCTATGAAATGAGGGAATATTTTGCTTTTAACAATAAGAAGATATAATTAATAATTAATGGATTCGCTTTTTCTATAGTTAATGTAGATACTTATTTATATTGAGTCCAAAATAACATCGTTTTGAGACGAAAATCAAAGTATTTTTGTAATTATAATTTATTTCAGGGTTATAACAGTCTTTTTCATCATAATTTTTTAATTTTTCAACCCAAAACGATATCATTTTGGGAGTGAACGTAGAAACATTAAAGTCATAATTAATATTCATTATAAAAGAAGAAAATCAATAAACTTGAGAATTTGAGATGATCATAAATGTGGCTGACTTGCAAGGCAATGACATGATCATCAGCTGTCATCATTCCCTGATGTAATAATTTGTTCCCATTGCTACGGGATTGTGGAAGATTTGTTCACCAGTAGAGCACACCATAACAAAGAATTGGATTTTTATCCAAAAAGAGAAAAAAAGAATTGGATTCCCATTTGGCAACAGCCATTCCTTTCAAAGGCATAAGTTCCTTAATAAGAAGCTTAACAAACCCATCATACCTTTGACGGCGTGTTTGGTAGGGTTTTTATTGTAGATACGCAGGCAATTTTCATCAGTATTTTAGCTTGACCATGTTTGGTACAAAATTCAAAAAAAATTAACTGAGAAATTATTTGCCCAGCCATTTTGATTTATTTGCAAAATTTCATGAAAAATACTGTTTCAAAAACCCACATGAGAGGTGGTATTTTAAAGTTTACCAGGAAAAGAAAAAAAGGAGGTTGAATTGTAGACGAAATTGACCCTCATCATTATTGTTCATAACTTTTTATTTTCACTAACTTTTTATTTACTGGCCTCATATACTGTTGACTGACTACTGGAGTACGTTTTCTCAGTCTCTTTCTTCTATTGAGATTAAAAAATTAAAGTGGTTATTTTTGTAATTTTAACTCATTTTTTCATCAATATTTTACCTTCAATCAAACATAGACTTAGAAGACTTTAATCAATTTTTCTGATAATATTTCGTCCTACCAATTTTATTTTTTTTCAACTTTATCATAAAATTTACTTTTCCACCATTTCCTCGGTAATTGTATTTATCTGGTAAAAAATTTTTTTCCTCTACCAAACACCCTGAGGATAACCAGCCTTAGGCACGAGCTGCACGCAAACTGTTTAATTATTTCATGCTTTGAATGAATGTTTGTAACTAGCATCAACAACATTTTTATCTCAAATAAATTAGGATCAATGACAAATAAATTTAAATAAAAAGTAAAAAAAATTGGGAATAAATAAATAAATAAATAATGGGAAAAATATTTCTCCATTTACCGAAGATAAAGTTATCTCCAGTAAGTTCAAAACGATGTCGTTTTGGGGTTATAAGAATAAAAAATTATAATGATAAAGACTAATATAATCTTGCAATATATTAAAATTAAAAAAACACCTTGATTTTTGTCCCAAAACGATGTCATTTTGGGTTAACCGAAGATAACTTATTTCCATTTACTGGAAAAATCCTTTACCCATAAATAATACTAAGAATTGAAAAAATATAGAAAGAAAATAAAAAATAAAGAATAAAGATTGAAAATAGAGTACCACGCTTTTAACTTCATATACTACTCCTCATAAGTCACCAAAAAAATAGAGCTTGAGCCTTGAAGTAATGTAATTCTATACAACTTGAGGGAGCCCTTTATGCTTACGCATGACTCAGGTTAAGAATGTGTATGACAACAATTCGATAATTAATTTTTTTTTATTTCTGTTTCCGAAGATAAAAGCAGATGAAAACAATATAATTCTTGTACGCAGTCTTACTCTTGTATATAATTGCAAAAAGACTGTTTGATGAATTACAAAATTAAAATTATTTATAGATATCATCAGAAGACAGAGTCAAAAGAAAGAAAGATGCTGAAACCTATTGCGACTGAAAAGCAATGGCTGGCCGGTGAAGTTTAAAGGCAACAAATGAAGTAGGCATCTCTTCACTGGTATCTGAATTATGCTTAGCATGCTTTACTGAAAAATGCCAAATATGTTGAAACTTGAAATTGCTTTAGGGTTCCATGAGGTACGCACATGAATTACTGCATAATGGTCCTTAGCTCTTTCTCTCCACCCATTTGAAACTTGAAAAAAATCCAGTTACTTAAAAAGTAGAAGCTTTAATGTTGGGGTACCTTAGATCAGGATGTTTAACAACCATATTCTTGAACCACTTGTTCACGATTTCTTGTACTTTATCTTTTTATCCACATATGTATGTTGGACCACCACTATGACTGCAACACTAAAATAGTCGGTATTATCATAGGTTTTAATATTTGAATAGATAAGCTATCTACACGTCGTCATTTTGGGTTGAAAAATTAAATAATTATAATAATAAAGATTGTTGTAACATTGAAATAAATTATAAATACAAAAACACATTAATTTTCGCCTCAAAACAATGTCATTTTGGGCTCAATCCATATTCACTGTAGACAAAACGAACCCTTTATTATATGCTATCTATATTTTATTCGTTTTTTTCCCGATGAATTATATCTTTTCTGCCATTGAGCCTAAAGAACGATGGACTAAAGAAATTATTAGTACAGAACATAGTCTTAAAACCAAATGAAATAATTTGCCCACATGTTGAAAAACATCATCCATAGACTAATCTACAGATAATACTTGTCCAACCAGCAAGGAATATTAAAGAAAGCATCAAGGAAAAGCTAAATTGGGTCTCATCAGAAACAGCCACATCATCTTTTTTTTCTTAAAAAAACAAAACAAGAGACCCCATCAACTATGTTTATTGCAGCTGGTTTATGAAAACCAAAACGGCTGCTTATGTATGTAGTATTTCATGCATAGAGCACATAAACTATGAAAGACAATAGTTAAGTTACTCAGTGACACACAAAAGAAAGCTTCCATGTCTATTATAAACCACGCCCCAGCTTGTTACGTATCTTACTGATATAGTCAGAAGCCAATCCATCAACACACTCTTCTTTCTTCGGCTTAACCTCATGGACTCTCTCTTTATGAATTTCATGCGCAGTTGATCCAGTGCTCCCATCTGACTTGATCAAATATGTGGGGTTTGCATGGCTCTGTGGCTGTTGTGACCTTCTGCTTGCAGGGAATTGATCAGGAACCAGTGGTTCCATCTCAAGGTCCTTATCAGAATAATCATACCCTGAAAGGTCCTTCCCAGCCTTTCCAGTGGTAGCTCCAAGAGTCTTCTGTGCAATAGAAAAAGAAGAGAGCCTAATAATATTTACTACAACCTTCATCGATTTCTCACAAAGAGACTTCTCACTCTTGGACTTGACTCTGCTATTCATGGTTATTGGCTCCATTCCCTCTACACGTCCCTAGTGTCTGAAGAGATGGTTGCAACATAAAAGACAAGCAAGGTCTATTTATAAGCATAAGATGTGGAAGGGTAAATTGGTATTTTTAGGTTCTTCCTTGTTTCGAGTATACTCTTATCCAAAGATATACTAACTCCAGTCCCTTTAGTGGGTGGATCCCTTGCTCATTCAGTTAAATTATTTCATGAAGGTTCTTTTGCAAAAAGCAGAGCCTACGGAATAATAGACAGAATCTTATTGCGTTACTTATCAGTGACGAGTGAAAGCATGTGGAAGCACACATGGCATTAGCAATTGGTTTGGTGTCTTTGGTCCCTGGTTGCACCATATGTAAAATCTTTGAGATTGTGGGCTTTTATAAAACTATAAACGAGGCAAAAGTTGATTTTAGTGACTCCCGTATATATGACTAGTGATTGGGGAGATGTAATAAAGAATTTTCCCTATGCTTAAATCAATCACCTAAGCCACGTGTAACGACGGTTTGATATTTTATCAGTTATGTAATGTATAGTCTAAAGTTCGGGAGGAACAAGATTCTTTGATACTGCTAATCTCCTATGTGTGTTTTTCAGAATGCTTCTCTCACTGTTGTTTCTTAATGCTTGTCTTTACTTTTTATATAATGATTATCATAACTTTATCTTCCTGTGTATCTGACTCTATTTGAAAATATATGCTCTTTAGCAGAGTAGACAAATATTTTTCTAGTTACTGTTATTTTGTCTGTTCCCACCTCAAAAAGCGAACAGATCTTGCCAATCAAAGCTTGGCAATATGCGGAATATGATCAATTCAATTGGATGAAAGAAAGAAAAATAACCGAAGACATCAGTGCCAACTACTATCTGTTTTCTAACCAGTACATATGATAGCTACATCTTTAATAACTCATAGTTACATATACATAAGAAGGAGCAACAACAACATGCATCAACCTTTCTGTTGCCAACATTAAAAAATAGGACACATACCACAATTTGATACATACAACTCTTTTGAAGAACAATAACATCCCCCACCCTTCTTTTGGGCACTGGCTAGTCAAATGTGCTAATGTTGACATGAATGGAAGGCAAAGCAATTATAATCTTTTACCTCAATGTTAGTTAAAAGAAGAACTAGACCAAGCTGCACAAATATGAAAGCCATATAGCCAATAAACATTCTCTATTTATCTACATATCCATCTGCATTGAGCCATTACAATGTTCATTTAACAATAACTTTGAAAGATAGACGGGGTGGCACCTTTATGAGAGAAGATTTAGGTTACTTACATGCTAAGAAACAAGCTTACAATCAGTAAGGCTTGCCTGCTTCATGTCACTTTTTGATTAATCCACATACACATTTCCTCAGATTTGAATTCCATCAGTCTATCCTGATGAAAGCCAAGGGTTTGGTGCGACGTAAGTATAGCCCTGGAAATGGTCGCCTGCTGTAGGGGTGGGAGCTGGCGAGTCATCAAGAGGCATTGCTGTCCAGCATTGGTCAAAATTAGCTGTACAGTCTTTTCCAGACACATCTGGTTTGAACTTTGGTTGCAGTTCTCTTGCCTCCAATTTGTTCCAATTGATTGACCGAAACCATTTATGACTTTTGATCTGCTCATCTCCATTTGGCCCGCTGCCTAGCCTTGTTGATGGATCCTTTTGCAGAAACTGTAACAAAGAAACAGAAATGTGCAGTTTTTAGCATTGGATGTCTCTTTCTTTTCTTTCTGTCTTTTTCCTTCTTCTTTTTGTCAGGTCAGGACATTGTATATTTTTAGAGAACATCATTTCCCAGAGCAGGAACTTTCCCAGTTTCCCTGCTTTCTTTTATAACTTTTTCATTTTTAGAAGTGGTCATGTGTTGATGTTTTTACTGACTTCAGTTTTATACGTAAATAATTCCTGTTTTCTTTTAACATGATGACCGCATCTTTTAGTGTGGCTATTTGCCGGGCAATTTTGAAAACTATATAAAAAATAATATCACTTTCACAGAGCGTTGCAGGGGAAGTATGGTAAATTTTTTCCACTAATCTTTATTAGAATATTAATATAATTTAAAAATGATGAATTTCAATGAAAACCATAAGTGAAAAAGTCCAAGTAGATGAACAATAGACATCAGGTTCCATTTAAACATGCATGTAATAAAACATATTTGCGTTTGAGTTTAAAAATAATTTGATAAATATAGTGTTTATAAACTATGGGTTTTTTAATTTTGGACAAAGTGAATTGATGCATTCTTTAATGATGAATCTAAATGGTTATAAGAAAGGTATAAATTGCAATATGCCTCTGAATATGTAATTTGATCGGCATATATTTAGTTCATTATATATGTGAATTAACGATTCAGCAAGTCAATGCAGTATAAATGTCAAATTTAAGTTCCTTTAATGAATAGAATTATCCAGATAGAACGTAGAGAGGATCACTTTTGGAGTAAAGTAGATCAATGGCATATGATTTCACCACCCTCCCCACCCCCCCAAAAAAAAAAAAAAACACAGAAAAAACACTAGCACACGAAAAGAATACCAACTAAAACCCCAACCCAGTGAAATATTTAGAAAACAAACATCATACTTAGAAGTGTACTATAACAGGAGAGGCTAGAGAAACAAAAAGGACCAAAACCAGGAATACTTTTGTCTACTTACTCCTTTGAGCAAAGAGTGAGCTTCACTGGTAAGATATGGTGGAAGTTTAACTTTCTCTTTAATAATTTTCTCCTGAAGCTTCTTTCTGTTAGTGTGTGTAAAGGGTGCCTGCCAAATGAAACTTAGCAATCAGTAAACGAATGCAAACACTTTGTAACATAGCAAAAGCCTTTTGTATCGGGTAACAGATTCTGTAGAGTGTTGTGATTTAGGTATATTTATGAGCTCCAAAACTAGATGCCCAAGAGAGTACAGAGCCGTCAAATCCTGAAAGCTCCACCTTGTGCTCTTACACAGAAAAGAAATGAAATTGAAAAGCTTCCTAAGAGCAAATCAAACAGATTCATCCAGACATCAATTTTGAAAAAATAATTTTATAAAAAGATTGACCCTCAATAAGTTCCATATTGAGATAATGCAGTTCCCAACTTTCCATTACCATATATAATTTTAACTTAAATCAAACTCACCTCTAAAAAGGAAAAATTTAGAGTAAATCCCTGTCATGAATCACAAGCATATAGGGGTGTTCGCGGTCTGGATTGGATCGGTTTTGGAAGCAAAAATCACCCGATTCAATCTCTTCGGTTTGATCATATAATTATCCATTCGGTTTGAATTTTTTTTCAAATCCGATCCGATCCAATCCAATTTTTTTCGGTTTGGATTGGATCGGTTTTCGGTTTTTTGAAAATCATAAAATTTATTTCATGATTATTGTGCAAATACCATCTTTTGTATATATTGGCTTTGTAAAAAAAAAATTGTGAAATACAAAAGAATTAGTAAACAATAATATAGTTTTTTTTTTGGCAATAAGATATGAAGTTCTACAAAGATAAAATTTTGTTGATGTGATGTGACTAGATTTTTTCTTAGGTTTAGTTGATGGGTTAATGGATCTTCGGTTTAGAAATTTTTGGGCTATGATTGGAGAAAGACCTAAGTAGGTAGAAGGGAATTAATATATTGGATTGGATCGGTTTTCATCAACCCATCCAAAAACCGATCCAATCCAATTAAAACTTGCGGGTTTTTTTCGGTTTTCGGTTTATTCGGTTTTCGGTTCGGTCAGCGCGGTTTGAATCGGTTTGGATCGGTTGATGAACACCCCTACAAGCATGTATCTTTTCACTTTTTCCCCATTGCCTAAGCAACTATGCCCTAAACAAATACTTCTAACAGCACATATAATTATTGTATACCCACATATAATTCAAGTATTCAATTGTGGGTACCTTCACCCACACACACTACACAGATACAACCTACACATAAATACTGATAAATGATGCAAGAGATGACATTACCTTCCCTGTTAGCATTTCATACAACAGAATACCGACACTCCACCAATCTGCATCCTTGTTATGGCCTTTAGCCAGTAGGATTTCCGGAGCCATATATTCCGTGGTCCCACACATAGAGTTGGATCTTCCGAATTCATCAATTTCTTTTGACAGTCCAAAATCAGTTAGCATCACCTATATGGACAAACATCAAAGTTCAAGAATATATATATATTTAAAATCATTCAAGTAATAAACTTGACAATCTTGATGTCTCAGTTGTCAATACTAACTTAGGAACATAAACAGAAAATATAAAAATCAAAAGGAAACGTGATAGATAAATTTCATGCAAATTTACATGCCCATCAGCATCCATGAGTATGTTTTCAGGTTTAAGATCCCGATGCACGATGCCATTCTTGTGAAGATGTGAAACAGCAGATACTATCTCAGCAGTGTAAATCCTTGCCTGATCCTCTCTACTCATCAAAACATAACCAAAGGATCATAATTAAAAATAAAAAAAAGAGAGTAGAATATGTAAGTCGCAGCATTTAGTGTGAGATGAAGAACAAGATACCTGAATATACCCTGCCTATATAGATGAAAGAAAAGATGACCTCCATTGATGAAATCCAATATCAAATATAACTTAGATTTGGTCTGCACATAAAATTTCAATCCAAAACATAGCAGTAAGTTAAAAAATAAAATAAATAAAAAACTCATTTTTAAAATCCAATGGTTAAAAAAGTAAGACCTGGAAAGAGTAGCGTAGCTGAACAATAAAAGGATGAAGCACTTTAGTGAGAATATCTCTCTCAGCTTTCATATAATCGACATGATTTTTTCTAATGATGGTTTCTTTTCTCATCACCTTCATTGCGAAGACCCCATCACCATCACCATCACCATCGAAAAAATCTCCCTTTTTCCTCACAAGAAACACTTTCCCAAAGGCACCTTGTCCAACAACTCTCAAAATCTGAAAATCCCCAGGTCCAATTTTATGAACCACTTTCTCTGATGCTGTTGCTGTTGCTGTTGGTTCACTCACACTACTAACAATCACTGGCTTTTCATCAGATTCGGAATCCTCTTCCTCGGTGAGAAGGAAGAGGGAATTGGAGGAAGTACGGAAGCGAGGAGAGGGACCCACAAAGGAGTGGGACCTACTGTGGATCACGTGTGGGCTCACAATGGATGTAGATGTAGATGTAGATGTAGATGTAGATGCAGATGCAGATGGAGATGGAGATTCGTTGGAGGATGATGAAGAGGGTATGGTGAGCTTGCTCAGGTTAGCAGCCATCAGCGAGTGAAGGCTTTTCTTCTTCTTCTCATATGTTGACACCATTTTTTATTTTTTATTTTTTTCAGTTGCTTGGTTACGGTTATTGTTATTGACTTATTATGTGTGAGGGAAAGCTAAATATGCATGCGGATCGATAATGGTGACGATAGTTTAATTAATGAGATGAAATTCAATTGCAGAATGATTGGACGGGAAAAGCAATGCTTTCATTAGAACCAATAATTGATGTTTACCACCGATAAATAATTATAAATTATTATTGGGTTCGTTTTCAGATAAGTTATCTACAATATGCCAATACGACGTCGCTTTAGGGCAGAAATCATGATATTTTTATAATTTTAATTTATTTCAGGGTTATAATAGTCTTTATATTCATAATTTTTTAAGATTTCAATATCAAAACGACGTCGTTTTGAAAATAAATGTAGATAACTTATCTGCATTAACTGCAGAAATATTTTTCCCATTATTATTTGATTTAAATTTATTTTTATTTCCTTCATTCTCCAATCTCCATTGTAACTTCCCCATCCTTTTTCATAAATGTTAGGGAAAAGTTCACTAACGTTCCTGTGATTTTTTATCACATATGCTCCTGTGCTTTGTAAAAATAAAAAATCACAGGAGTATGATAAAAAACATACCATTTTGTAAACAACAGGAACATGTGTGATAAAAAAAAAAATCACAGAGGCATAAATGATTATGAACTTTTCCCTAAATATTATCATTAACTTTTCTATACCTACCACGAATCTTGGATAAATTTTGTTGTTAACTAGATTGCAGCTTTATGTTTGAAAAATTACTGCCATTACTAAGAAAACAAACGTTGCACATAACTACTAACAAGGGTTATTTCCTTGAAAACATCAAGTCTTAAGTTATGCAAAAGTAATACATTGATAGGTATACTAATAACCAAGCTTTCTGCCATTCAGTAGAATAAGTTATGGGGAAAACTAATATTATGTAACATGATGTAAAAAAAATTATCCACTCACCCATTGGTTTTCGCACTAACATTTTTTGTTTTTTGTTTTTATTATATGTATGGGACCCACATGCATCTTTGTTTGAGTGGGAAAATTTGGTTAGATTATGTCACATGATAATAGCTTTACCCATAAGTTATATGCATTAAATCATTGAACTCTACGAAAGAACTATAGTTCTAATATATCTATTTAGAGTAAGGTTCTTTACTCTCTTTTTCTTTTAAAAAAAATTTATTCGGCCTTCCTCTAATTTTTTAATGAGACAACCTTCCATTTGATTCGCTTTTTGTAGCGAAATCTTTAATAGTCTTCTTATCATAAAACCAAAGTATCTTAACCAGGTTGTGACATTGTCTCATCAATTGGTGATACATCAATATTTTCCAAAATACACTTGATCATAATCATATCTAATTTATTATTTTGGTGAACCAAAACGTTATTAAGGAGAGGTTACTTTAACACTATTTAACGCAATTACAAATACAACTTATTCGATTGTTCTTAGACTCAGTTTGAAAAATTGTCAGCACTTTCCATGGTTAGCTGCGATAACACAGACGTGGCAGTTGGGAATGTCAATTCATGTAGCAATTTCCTCCGAAAAATTAAGTTGAAGGAATAATATTATTTTCAGTTTGCACAACTTGCAATCACAGTATGATTACTTGGCTGATTTTTAGCTCTAAGTCAGAGTTCCAATTATCTGGAGGGAGATCAGAAGCCTATAGACGAGATCAGAAGCCTTTAAACTATTTACATCTCAATCACATTCAACTATTTTTAATTTTAAGAGATTAGTCCAACGAACTGAAGACAGCCTCTGCTCCGAAGATTCGAAAATCGATATCCATTTCAAACTAAAATAATTGCAGCAACTTTTTGATTGTAATCTATTTTCCCCCATTTTTTTTCCTGCTTTCATTAAATTACAATTGTATACCATGTAATCGCCCCCACAAAAATGACAACCAGGACAAATGACATCACTCACCAATCCCCCATCTCAAGAAATAAAGATACAACACCCCGTATAATTTCTTCCGGCCAACACAATAGAACATGCAGGGGCAAATTCTCCTAAAAAATTGGAGAATGATATGGATAAAAAAAATGTAACAGATAATACACAACCAACTAGCCTAACCAACAGACAGGACCTAAACAAAATGGCCCTCCCTATCACAGGCATTTACCAATCCTCTATGATACATTCACCAAATTCAACTCCATTGGTCTCAAAGCCTCTTGAACTATTTCCTGAACTGCTCTGTTACGTCGGCAAACATCGGAGAGCTCTTCAACAGGAACAGTTAGCCCATTAGTATCACCTCCAGATGCCGCATCAGAAAGTGCCTTCAAGAATCTTGTTCGCTCCACATCTGTGACTGCTGTTGATGGAATCAACAGAACACTTTCTTTTGCCCACTCCAGAGCATGCATCCCATATGATCGAGTCAATGCCAGAAGTGTGTAAGATACCTGAGAGAGATGCAGGTGCACACATAAAGAAATAGATAGTTGTACTTCATCCTAACAAAAAATGTGAAATTATATGAAAATGAAAGAGTCAACATTGACTTTGAAATTACCACATCTACTCGAGATTTTGGAAGTGCTCCGGTTAATGAAGCAACCAAAATTCTGGTGATGCTGGCTCCTCGAGGAATAATTATGCTATCTCTGATTGGTATAAATTGCTCCCCCGCAGTGGAGTTTGCAAGATCAAAAATATCAGCCAAGAAATGCAATATGGAATTGGAAGCCTCCCTGCAGAGGAGGGAAACAGCAAGGGATAAATAACCATGCTACACAGTGCTGCGGATATATTTTAAAAGAGAAATATCCATTGGATTCTCATGGCATAAGCTCCTTTAGAATTAGAAGCATTTTTGTATCACAACTGCAACACACATGCAACAATGATATCAACTGAGAAAAAGTATAAGAAGCAAATAGGTTTGAAGGTAGATAAGGCATTTCAAACAACAGTGTCCCATGATATAAAATAACTGTAGTATTCTAGGAGTAAAACGCTTCATTTTGTTAATTTTAATTGACATTTAACCCTTAGGTAATTTTATATTTATAAGATGCAAGAATTGTCTTTATGTCTCTTTCCACGCAGATGCATGAATTGTAAGTTCAAATGAGTGGACGGCTAAACCTCATGCCTCAACTTAAAGACAGCATAGGAAAAATAAAGGCATTGCATCAGAGATGCAATCAATGCTGTATATGATTATGACAGAAATTGTAAAATGCAGAGACTTATGCAGGCGAGGAGGAAGTGAGACATGGAGCAGCACGAAATTTCGTTATAGGATTCCTTGTATCTCAATAATAAACAATAAGCAAAAAGACTAAGAATACACACAATACCCTTTCAGAAGAATAGAAGATGTTTTCAAGGTTGTGTGTGTGTGTGTGTGTGTGTGTGACGTGGAGAGAAAGAGAGAGAGAGCCTCTACCTATGCTGTACGGTGATCCCAACCATAGAGCAATCAACTAACGAAGGAAAAACAGATGAGGGAATAAACAGTCGAGGACAGTAGCGAATACACCTTGAGGCCAACAAAAAACAATCATCCGCTATATCAGGCCGTGCTGTGAATTCCTGCGTTAGGAAATATAGTCAAACATTCAAACACTATCAATAGATCTTAAAGAATGTGCTACAGCGAAGTCACTTAAATCACACCTGAATATTTGTGAGAAGCCGTGTTGTGTGCTGGAACAGCGCCTCAATCAAATTCTTCAGGTAGTCAGCACAAGATGGATCAGAACCAAATATCTGAAATACAGGAGACACCAACCACCAAAGTTATACGAAACTAGTTCATTGATCACACCATGTAGGGGAAGAATTTTGTACAACCTATAGTCAATGATGGGATAATGAGATGCATAATCTTTCATTTTTTTTAAAAAATATAGAATAAGAAATTTTATTAGGAAAAGAAACAAGAACACGCAAGTACAATGAAAGGGAAAGACAGATCAAATAAGTAAAGCTTGTTTCTCTTAATATCTATCAAAGAGAATCCTCTATACAAAACTTAGCTGAGCACCATAAAGAAGCCAAAGTGTTACTATAACCCACAAAAAGATGAGAAGTTAGAGACGTAGAAGATGAACAGAGCATTACTGATTATATTAATACATGATTTAGAATCTTTAATATTAGGAAACAAATAAATTAAGATAAATAATACAAGTCAAATCTTAATTGTTAACGGAATGTCGGAATATACAATCCCTAACTCGGAGATATTTTCCCTAAATAGGAAATGCTACCCAACATTCCTCCTTAAGCTAAGGTGTAGAAATCATATGTACTAGGCATGTTACAAGTGAAAGGGATTCAAGGACCCCAAAGGAACTTTGTAAGCATATCTGGAAGTTGATGACTAGAATTAACAAACTCAAATAGTGATTTCCTTAGAGAAAGCTTTTTCCCTAATAAAGTGACAATCAATTTCACATGCTTGGTTCTCTAATGAAAGGCAGAATTTGAGCAAAATGTAAAGAAATTGAATATCACAGTGCAGCTTAACATGATCAATATTTTCAAAATTCAACACACGAAATAACTATTTCACTCGTATAAGTTCATGGCTCTATACTCGATCTCTACACTCTACCGAGCAATCACATTGTGTTTCTTACTTTTTTGGGATACAAGATTACTGTAAAGAACCAATTTAACCCAAAAACTTAAGTTGTTGAGCTAGGTTACATTAATGGTTTTATATATCTCTAACAAGACCCCTCACACAAGAGCCCATTGGACTTGAAGGGTGGACAATACACAGGCTCACCTACCTGTGCTAAGAAACTCCATAAGATTTGATTAATTATTAATTAAATGGGAGGCGGTGAGGATCCAACTCATAACACCAAGGCTCTGATACCATATAAAGAACCAATTCAACCCAGAAGCTTAAGCTGTTGAGTGAGGTTACATTAATAGTTTTATATATCTCTGACAATTACAATTAACAAAAACATGGTATCCCTTATTGATAAGCAAACTAGCTCAACAAATATCAAAGTACCGCAC